GGCGGTTCAAACCCACCAGCCACTCCTTGGAAGGAAGGAAGATGGGGCAGTCTATTTCCGTAGTGATAGTGCCTCGGAAACCCAAGGAGGGGTCGCTGTGAGTCGGGTCCGACTCGATGGCACATAACAACAACAACAACATCATAAGTAGCCAAAATCATGTACAATACTGGATGGGAAGGGAACTTGCTGGTGGGGATTAGGACTTTGACATTTAACATATATGTTGCTGAATGTCACATCTTGTTCACAGAGTAAATCCCATAGTTGTTCACTAATGGGATTTTAGAACTTAACACGAAAAAATTATTTCCTGGCTTAAACAGGAACAAATTAGGACTTTTTGCTAAAAGAACCAATTAATGAAAATATTTTAACTATCTTCTACCGATAATGGTCATAAAGTCATGAAAACTCAGAACCTATTTCTATTTTCTGAGAAATCTTTTAACAAGACCATGTTAATCATTTTTTCAAAAAGATTTTGTTGTGACTCTGAAGTATCAGAGTGAATTTGACCTTAATAAGAACAGCTTAAGAAATTTTCTCCCCCCTTCTTTTTCTTCCTTTCATTTTTATTTATAACTTACTCTGCCCAAATGTTGAGGTTGTGCCAAAGCCTCCTGTGCCACCCCCAAAGGGTGTTCCAAATGATTTATTAAACATCCTCGAAATGAGTCCTTTCTTCAAAAAGCTGGAAAGAAGAAAAAAAATGATCACTCTTTTAAAAAAAACACAGAATGTAATATAATTCTCTTTCAGAAAGTGTATCATTCTCCAGTAGGGGCATGGTGGCTCAATGGTAGAATTCCTGCCTTCCGTGTGGAGACCTGGTTCAGTTCCTGGCACTGATGAAGGGTTGGGTGCTGTCATCATGCTGAGCAGATTTCAGCAGACCTTCTGGAATAAGAACTAGGAAAAAAGGCCTGGAGATCTGCTTCCAAAAACCAGCCAAAGAAAACCCAAGAGATCAAAAACAGCCTGATCTGCAACCACTTTTGACAATGGTGCGGATTGGACAATGTCTTGTTCTACTGTGCGTGGTGGGAGACAGCTAACAGCAATACTACAATCATTCTACAAAATTAGTTAGTTAGGCCTGTTCACAGCTGTAGCATAATGCTCACTCTCATTCATTATCCTAAGGCTCTGTATGATAAAATATACTTGTAAAATGACCTTTCATCATCCATACTCTTACTATTCTGAGCTGAAAAGTACCATAATATGAAGTTAAACTCCACAATCATCTCTTTAAAACAATGTTTTTTGACTTTTCTTACCTAAACCCCTTGCCCCCCGCCCCCAAAAAAAACCATTGCCATGGAGTTGATTCCAACTGATAGAGATCCTACAGGACAGAGGAGAACTGTCCCAGTGGGTTTCCAAAGCTGTAAATCTTCATGAAAGCAGACTGCCTCATCTTTCCTCCACTGAGTGGATGATGGGTTCAAACTGCCGACTTTCTGGTTAGCAGCCAAGCACTTTAACCACTGTGCCACCAAGGCTCCTCATTTTTTAAAAGGGGGGAAAAAAAAACCCTAAGCCCCCTTTAAATAAAGATTTCAGGTCCACTATACCAAATTTTGATATGGGTCACATAGGAAATTATATATCATACCCATCAAAAATTATAACCATGTTCTGTTATGCTGATCACTTAAAATACTAAGCACCACAGAGAACAAAGATGAACCCTTTCGCATGTACAGTACTGTGTTGTCAGTGATGGCAAGCATTGATCTATGGGTGGACAGATGAGTGTACAGGTATATCTAGGCAGGGGGGAGTGTGCCCAGGACCATGTATAGGGTTGCCAGACAATGTTTCTTTAAGCATATTTGTATATGCTGTAAGAATGTCTGAGTATACAGTAAAGCTGACAGGGGACAAGGTTGTGGTGACTTCTTGGCCATAGCCAGTTACCTGGAGGGAATGAGTAGTTGGACCTGTGGCCTCGGGACCATAGTCACAGAAATATCAAGCTCAATTGGCATAACACACTACACAAAAACATTGTTCCACATCCTACTTTGGTGAATAGTGACTAGGGTCTTAAAAGCTTGCAAGTGGTCATCTAGATGCAACGATGAGTCTCCCATCATCCAGAGCAAAGAAGAATGAATAAAAACAAAGATGCATGGAAACAATTAGTCCAAGTGACTGGTATACCATGCGATCCTCAGCCTATATGAACATGAGACCAGAAGAATTAGATGGGCCTGGCTACCACTGTCAACCACTTGGAGGGGGATCGGTACAGGCAATGCTGGATACAATGGGAGAATAATGTAGAACAAAACACAAAATCATTTAAAAAAAAAAAAAAAAAAGACCAGGTTTGCTGGTGTGATAGAGCCTGGTGAGAACTCTGAGACTATGTGGCCCCTAGTTACCCTTCAGGTCTGGAACTGAACTCAGTCCTGTGGCTTCCAGCCAAACAACAGGCATATGGGGTAAGCATTTATACCAGGGAGGTGTATTCCTCAGAACGATCTCTCATGGAAGAACACAAGGGCAGTGTCTGCACAGGGAGACAGCTCAGGGGGCAGGAGTGCATAGGAAAGGACACAGGGAAGAGGCGACCACAGGGAGGAAGTGAGAAGAGAGCTGTTACATTGTGGGGAATTGAAGTCAATGTCATGAAACAAAATGTGTATGAACTGTTGAATGGAAAATGAATTTGCTTTGTAAATTTTCACCCAAATCACAGTAAAAATTTTTAAAAAAGCACTAAGTATCTAACACTAAAATACCTAAGATTTTTGTCAGGCTTTATTTTCTAGTTTGGATTATAGAAAAACTACCCTTCTCTATGTTTTTCAAACTACAGTAAAACCTGTGAAAGCTGGAACCTGTGTAAGGCAGAAACCTGTTAGAGAAGAAAGCTCAAATATTTTCTACTAAAACAAGTGATAGAAAGTGGTAAGACTGCATGCACACTGTCAAGGGAGGAAAACTTGAGAGACCTGGAAAAACAAAGCCGTCTCCTTGAATTCCGGCTCTCATAGGTTTCAATGATGGGTGCTCCTCTTCCCATCTCCAGATCTCAGAGATTCTGGTGCCCAGACATTCTATTATGACCTATAGCCCCTTGACTTGTCTTTCTTCTAACTTCCTCTGGGAACATTAGGGGAAATCTTTGATGAAAATGCCCACCCTCATATGAATGATTCCCTCCAGTATCCAAACTATGCACCTGAATTGGACTTCATATGACTTCATGAATTGGATGAGTGTTCTAACAATAACTACAACCACAAAAAGGGTGTTTGGGTTGTTTTTTTTTTTTGCCCCCTCCATTTGAATAAAAACGACTTATTGGTATAGGCTTCCAAATACAAAGGCTTTCCACCTCCGTAATTATTTCTTAAGAGACCTGCTACTACTTAATAAGCAAACTATTTTGAATGTAAATACCCAGAAAATAGCCAATTATGCTTAATTGGACTTTGTGACATGTATGATGACTTCTCTATTATATACACATAATGAAGTAGGCTTTTCTTATAGTAAACTATGCTTCCTTCATATAATAGAATTAAATACAACATTTTGAGGGCCCTCCACAATGTTCCAGTGTCTATTAGCATTTTTTGGTATTTTAACACACCCAAACATTTTGTGTAACCTTAGAAAAGATCACGATGTCCCTGAATACATAATGCTTTTTATAGAATCAACATCATTCTCTCCCCCAAACTTTCCTTAAACAAACAAGTAACAACAACAAAACAGTAGCCCAACATTTACTTATTTATCCTAACATCTAGATATTGAGTAACTCCTTAGATTAAACAAAGCTCACTGGAACCAGTACTTCTTAACTAGAGGGCCACATCAGATTATCTAACAACCTTTTACAAAATACATACAACTCAGGTCCCATTCTAGAAATATTAAATTAAAATCTTCAGAGTTGGGATACAGACACGTGTTTTTTGAAAAGGCTCCCCAAATGACTCTAATGTATTCACTTAGAACTAGAGGCTGTTTCATATAATCACAATTAATAATTCAGTAATGAGATGTGCTTGAAGTTTCCTGCCCTCCCAGTTTATCAAGCATCACAAAGTGACAGACAGGGCCTTTACCATATCAACTGCTGACTATCCTTTCCAAGGGAAATATTCTTAGAAGCACTTAGCAGAAGTCTTTGGCCAAACCTCTATGAATCTGTCTATACTGGCTTTTCAATGACAGATTCAGAACTGACAGTTGTGCTAGGAGTTAGATCTCTCTGCCAACTCATTTTGATGGCAATCTCTCTCATACTGCAGTTTTGGGTCGTAGTATCTACAGCATCCAAACCCTCAGCTCCTAAAATCAATGTGATTTTCAATAATCCCATTCTGAAACAGAACTCTAGCATCACATAAATATTTCATGAAATGATTTTTAGGAGTAATAAGATCCTGGGGACACCTCACAGTTTACAAAGGTCTTTCACATATTATTTCAACAACTCTAAAAGGTCGGTATTATCCATCACCACCAGTATTTTACAGATGAGAAAACACAATCAGAGATTTAGCAAGTTTCCCAAAGACAGAGAACTGATAAGTGGTGCAGCCACAGTTTAATCTATCTTCTTACTCCCAATGAACACCCTCAATCCTAGGAAGAAAGTGACACAACAAACAAGAACATATGTAGTATTATAAAACATCTGTTTCAGACCCAAGAACAGGGGATAATGTATGGAGCCAATCCAATTAAGACTCCTGGAAAAAAGCTTCTCACTCAGTCTAAGCCTATCTTCTTAGCTGTGACAAATATGAGGCTGTCTCACTCTAAGCCAGATCATACTGCTTTCCTAAAAAGTCTTTAACATTATCACCATGGAAGCAAACCAAGACTTTAGAAAAAAGCCTCATGATTTTTATCCTAACTGCTAGAAATTAAAGACTGGATAATATATTTCACTCATTCCTATTTAAACCAACCATTCCTCTTCCTGATTATGTGTAAATGTCATTGAGTCAATAAAAAAAAGTCTCCTCTGCTCTCAAATGTCATCTCTTCTATAAGCTTGCCCTAGTTCTCTAGCAATAAGTCATTCCTCTGGGCTTCCTCAGCATATTATGACTTGTTTGCATATACCTACCTGGACCCTAACTCCCTATAGTGGGCACTGTGATACACCAATTACAGAGACATCCCTTTAAAGGATTTGTTGTACCAGCTGCTGAGAGTGCTACTAGGAGACAGCCCTCAGCTGCCAGCCCTTTTCAGAACTGCCTCAGCTGAACAGTGTGGCCTCACCCAAGGTCACACTCCTTCTGATGACAGTCTATAACCACAGTCAAAAGCTAGGTCCCTTTGCTCCAATTCTGGCTAATTCTGAAGGGTAATCCCAACTTCATACTTTTCATCGGATTGGATGAGGCTTTCATTAAGACAACATCACAATTCGATTTCTCTCCTCTCTTCTATAGGTGGTGATCCCAACAAACCCACCAGCTGCTGTCCAGTCAATTCCGACCCATAGAGTTTCTACAGGACAGACTAGACTGCCCAGAAGGTTTCCAAGGCTATAAATCTTTATGGAAGCAGACTGCCACATTTTTCTCCTGCAGAGTGGCTGGCAAGTTTAAGCTGTCAATCTCTCAGTTAGCAGCCAAAGTGCTTAACCACTGCACCACCAGGACTGCCTGTGATCCCAAGAGCACTCCCTAATATACCTACTACACC